TATGTATCTGAATTCTCCACTAAACCGTCTCACCATTACTCAGGTTGCTTCCAACTGGTAACATAAGGCTGCAAGGTAAGGGGAAATGGGGGTAAGTGAAAATAATCTGTTCTACTTGCAGACATGTTTTTCAACGTGGCACATCTCTAGGCACAACTGTTGGATTCCACATGCCTCATGTTGTCTCTGCCCTTTTCTCTGATTGAACATTACAAATTGATTTCGGATGGTGCTCAATCTTCTTTTCCTAACATTACATTCTCATTTTTATGTTCTTTTATAAAATAGGTCTTTAGCTTACTCAACTCTGTGGCATGCACATTTCTCAAATCAAAAATAAGGTCAACCAAGGTTATCATTATTAATGAAGACTATTCTAAAATTATGTAGCCTAGATGTGTTTTTTTTTTCTTCTTCCTTTTTTTTTTTTTTTTATCAAATGTAGGACAAGAGTAAAGAGTACTTGAATTGACACATTAATGCAGGAGGGAGAGTAGGTGAAGATGGAATCAGAGTTATAATCAAAGTCAGCTGCATAAGAGCAGACTGCTGCAGCTATATTCAGAGATGTATATGATTCAAATGATCTAAATACATTCTGATTTCTTCTTCAGAAGGTTTAGGGTTCATTTCTGAAGGTTTGCATTGTATTTCCATACACAAACACAGACACAAACTGTAACGGAGAGATCACAGCCACAATTGATAAGGAAACAAGTTTTTGGATTCTGAAATACAAATTTTAAATTAGAATTGTATTAAGATCTGAGTCAATTTATAACTATAATCATGAATGAGCCTTTAATATTATCTACCTATAGCAGAGAAATCATTAAATGTGTTAAAATATATGAAAAAATGTATTCCATCAGTGTTGAACTCATGAAAGGAAAAAAAAATATATATATAGTGGAAAATGTGCCCATTCCTGTAGAAAATCAAGGACATAAAATTGCAATACCTTGTTTCCTGCAACTTTAATTATTTTTTGAGGATCTGATACTCCAGAACCCAGCACTTTTTTTGGCTGCCATGGTAAGAGATATCTTCCATATAATTTTGTGGAAGGAAGAAACCAGAAACCCACCTACCTAAAGTTTATGAACTCTATATAGATTAGGTTATTTCAAATGCAAATGTGTATTTAATCAAACTGCAACATTGATGGTCATTAACAAAAATAATATTCAAGACTGGCATTCTCACAATTCCACCAGACTTGTACCAGCTGTTTCAAAAACTATGTCACTTGTTACCTATGTTACAGTCTCTCTTACCAAGTCTAGCCAGTTCTCAGCCACTTACATTTTTGCAAATTTCTCTATACATCAAATATGGAATTAAAACTTTCCTGTATTTCAGCATACACTAACTGCTACCTGTTCATGTATCCTCAAGTATACATTGTAACATGCCAAGCCTTCAAACAAAAAACAACCTGAAGCATAATATTCTACCACAGAGTTAAAAGATTACCTTGAGGATACCTGTTCCAGCAAAGCATTCTAAACTGTGTTAAAATTCAAGGAACTGACAAAAGAAGCACATTGAACAGCAAAAAGTTGGTCCTGTTGTCAGTATTGCACTCTGTCTAGTTCCCACAAATTCTTCTCTAACTTGAGATCAATCTAATATAATTAGATAGTTTCCTATCTAATGTTGAGATACACATTTTTCTTTTGAAATTCTCATTTAAATATTAAAATCCATGGTCTAGAATCTGTTCCCAATAAATCAGAGTAAACACAAGTTAACTGAAACTATCTCTATAGAGTGCACTTGAAATATCTCATAAGCAGGCTGCCACATTTGCTGTCTGTGAAAGAAAACAGCTGAAATTATCCTTCCTCCTATTCCTGTTCACGTGATACTCACAGACAACCTTCATCATAGCCTTCTATTGAAGGTTCCTCAAGCTTTGTATGGCCATTGCAACTAATTCAGTGCCTCTATTTCTTCTCCATTTTTGGACAAGTCAAGAAAAGAACATGGGAATAGCCATTGCCTTGAGGTTATATAGACGTAGCAGCAAAACTATCAGACACAAGGACAATTTGCTACTTACTGCTTCAGAAAGCAGCCAAGAAAGGACAGCATTTGTGTACCACACATTGCTAGGATAATGGCAGTATTTTCCTGCCAAGTACTGTTTGTTACCAGAACAGAGTCCAATTACATGGCGGCTAAACAAATTTCATTGTTCCTAGATGAAAAGATTCAAACCTGAACCAAACAGTAGTGCTTTATCAGTTTTCCAAAGTAACATTTTTATTTTTCTTTCATACAGCAGTTAAAGAAATTCAGTAGGGATCTCTGAAAATATAGTTAGTTTAACCAAACATATTAAATGTGAACTTCTTGTGAACATAAATGAGAACATGAACTGCTAACACTTTATAAGTCGACCAAGTCAGTATTTTATGTTTTCCTCAATATAAATCAGTTCCTCACATAATTAAGACACTGTAGCTGAAGAAATATATAATTCATTTCCCACCCTGTTCTCCTAGTAAGGTAGTAAGGGTAAGCTGGAACAGGATCATCTCTGCTTTTCACAACTCCTGGGAGTTGTGTGCATGCTGTATAACAAGAATAAAGCTTCATGTCATATTTTGAAAATGCCATTGATACTGTTTTTATGGCTGCACAGTTTCAAGGCCATTCACCCACTTCTTCTACTATTTCTTTCAATAGTTTGACATAGTCAAAAAAAAAAAAAAAAAAAAAAAGGTAAAAAGGTATCTGAAAGTATTAAAGCACTTTAATTAAAATAGATTCTTGCTTTCTATTCTACCTTAATAAATTTCAAACTAGAAAAGTATATTTTTTTAATTGTGTTTTTACTATACTGCTTGTATTCCCAAAACCTTAAGCATATATAATTAAGGATCTTAAGCATTAATTTTTAAAGAGGTCTTCACCTTTCTAGAGCAATTATTAAGTTCTGTAAGACAATTAGTCTTTTTACAATTATGTCTTCTTGCAAAAAAAAAAAAATAATACTCTTTACAATTTTAAGCTCAAACACCATTTAAGTTTATTGTTTAAATGATTATTTTTATGAAATAATGAATTAGAAAAAGATACTTAAAGATATTATATTAAGTCCTACTACATGCAAGAAGATAGGTCTAAATTTCTTGGATATTTTTCACTGAGGTGTCAAGCATTAATTTTGTAAGGAGCTTTATTTCATCTGAATAGCAAGAAAATTCTTATTCATTTAACTTCATCAAATTTAGGGAGTTTTCCATCTCTAGGGATAAATTTTCCTTTTCTTTCTAGCAAGCTGCACTACTACAAGTATTAACCTCTCACCATCTTCACTAATGATACATTATTCTAGTCCTCTCCTAGTAAATCTAATTCAGGCTTTGAGTGCTTTAATAATTAATTCTTGGTACTAATGACTCTTTATGCAAGTAGATCTAATACCATTGAATTATCAGTACTAATAAACCCATATAGCTAACAGTGAAACTATTCTTCATCAGGTAGTGTTTAATGCTGTTAATTTTATTATTTAATCTACATTAATCTACGAAAACTCATTTGCCTACAGACAAGCTACAGAAACAAATTATGGGTAAGGTTCATGGATATGTTTTTGCAGCTGAGACAAAGGGAAAACATTTATATATGAATATAAATACATCACTGGCTGCCGTCTCTTGCAAAGTCAGGTATAGTGGAGCAGTGATATGCTTTGCCAACCTACCTTCTGATATGTTCGCCATGTAAACATAGAAAACCTTAGTTATGTTTAGACGTGTTTCTTGCCACACTTGTCAAAAGTGACTTACACCCTTATTTTGCCCATATTTGTCCCAGTCACATTCTCAGTAGATTACAAAGCTCTGAACACCATCCTTTTCAAATGGAAATACTTAGCTCTTTCAGAAATGTCTTTAATGTTTATCTGGTTATTCATCCCAGGATTACAGTGCTTTATAAACACTGCTTAACTAAGCACAGTATGTTGTTAGGTCATGAAGGTAGGGTAAATGAACAAAATCCATCAATATCTTAGAACAGTTCCCTTATGAAAGCCTGAGAAGGACTTTCTCCTGAGGTAGCCAGAAGACCAGAGTTTTGGTGACTATTATACTTAATTGTAATAATTACAACAACTAATAATAAATGACAGTTCCTCCATTCCTTCAGCACTGCCAGTTACTGAAACTCATGTATCTTGCTTGTATTTCTCTTTGAGCAGGTTTCAAAAGCAAGACCCAAAATCACGTGCTCAACACCCCCTCAGTGGAGCAGGAGCATTTTCAATCCTGTTGCACTTGGGAGCAAAGGGCAGAAGAACAGGTTCTCACAACAGACTGAGAAAAAGAAGCCTTTACTGAGTCTCCAGTCCTCAACAGGAATGGAAGACTGTGTGTCACTGGTGAGGAATCAAACTGCAGAAAGCCAAATGTTGAACTGGATAGCTAAAACATATTCCAGCCCTGCTGGTAATTTTAGTTTGCTCCCTACTTTGAGTCCATTCTTCTTACCTGACACTCCTGAAGTTTCCCTGTCTCTTCTGCCCTCTGGCTCTGCTCTCACTACAACTCTTGTGATAATCTGTTGCTTTATTTGTAATATTTTCATTTTATATTGGCACAGGTAGTAGAGAAGATGCCCCAGAATTGAAGTTACAGAATCATTTGCTGAGCATGGTTTTGTGGAGCTCTTTGCACCCCAGAAAGCACACCGTGTTTTCCTCCTATTCCTGTCTGACTTGGGGTGGTTATTACTGAAAAGAATTATTTTCTGAAATAAATTTTAAGCCAAAGCCCTTTCCTGTCCCCAAAGTATAGGCAACAACACTGGCAACTACTGTAATTGGGTCTGCAGTGAGTAGTTCAAGGGAGTCAACATGATTGACAGCTCTCTCTGGGCTAATAACCACAGAAGCTTATCCATATTTTCTACAGCTGAAGTACTCCTACAGAAGCTTAAAAGTTCAATACAGACTTCTCCACTTTAAAAAATAATTATTTTCTTACCTGTTTAGAGCCCTCCATGGAACTTTTCTGCTTTTTAACCAGATTTCAGTGGCATGCCATCCTCAGCGTGATGAGGATGAGGATCTGTCATCCTCATAACAGATTTCTTCATATTTCTATTCCTTTTAGGTCATCTACAACAATTATTAAAAGTTCAAATATCATCTGAAAAATATTATTATAATTAATTAATTAATAATATAATATAATATAATAATTAATAATTATAATTAATAATAATAATAATAATAATAATAATATAATAATAATATATAATAATATATAATAATAATAATAATAATAATAAATATTTAGACTTAAGAACCTTTCTCAAGACCTGAATGTTGTTTCTGAAATTAGCAGGATCTTCTCTCTGTTCCAAAATCTGGGTATATTTTCACACATTCCCTGACTGATTCATGGAATAGTCACTAAATTGATGGAATAGCCCTGGGGCCTTAAAAAAATTATACCAATTTAGTTACCTAAGCCCTAGGAAAACATTAAAATCATCAAAACTATCACACGCTTTGGAAAATACAAAGTTATTTAAGCCTAAAGCAGATTGTATATTCTATTACAAAACAGTACATTAAGAAACAGTTGACTCCTTTTTTCTTTACAATAAACCTTAGGCTAAAAATTCATGCTTTCTCCCACCCAATTTGTCCCGACTGTTTCCTTGCTACAACAACAATCCTTCTCTCAGCAGTGTGGGTTAACCTCAATACAAAGCATTTCACTGAGAAGCAATGCACAGATCTCTAGTGGAATTTGGTACTCAGCATGTGCAGTACACAGCTGAAGTATGGACAGCATATATACAAGAAAACTCTGCTTTTGTACATTTCAGTAGCATAAAGCAACAACATCCAGAACTGATTGTTTGAAAACATTCATCATGGGAAAAAAAAAATGTCAATCTTTCACAAAATCTAGTGCTGTATGTACTACACTAATCAAAATCTCCATCTTCCTGAACTTATTAGAACATATTCCTCACTCAATTAGAAACCAGGCCAACCCTAAAAGTCGGTATTTTTGCATGAATTATTTCACCACAGCTGTGCACCAGCTACATTACTGCTTCAAGTACAGCCAGCCAGCCAGCTGTGCAATTGCTCAGTCAGCAACAACAAGACTTTTAAGCCCAACACACTAAAATGGCTGTTTAAAGATGTGTCAAACTGGTCAGTGGTGATTCAAATACTGAACGGGAGTAGCTGTTTGCTGCTTAATGATGGGCAAGAGATATAATTTGGTACCTGTGAAAAAAGATGAATTTTTTAGGACTTGCATTGTCATAATACTGCATCCTAATTTACTCCACACAGCATGGCATGAAACTAAAATAACATAACTGGGCTGAATTCCACAGGCATTTGTCAGGCAAAAGCCATCACTCAATTAAGGACTACAGAATTTGGCACACCAATCTGGACCATTTGTTTCATATACAACAACGCATGGCTTTCTAAAAAACAAATAAATAAATAAATAAAAATTGAAACTAACAAAATTTTCCTTCCCATTTTGTAAACAAGTAGATGCATAAATGTTTATATACCTTCCATAATTCCCACTTCTAATGCAACTGTAAATATCATGCAGAGATACATAAAAGTTTAAGATTGTGACTTCTATTTACCTTCTGTCTGCAAAGACATCTCAGAGCAATGAATGATGAAGGTGGCCAATAAGGCCAACAGCATCCTGGCTTGCATAAGAAACAGTGTGGCCAGCAGGGCTAGGGAGGTGATCGTCCCCCTGTACTCGGCTCTGGTGAGGCCGTACCTCTAGTACTGTGTTCAGTTTTGGGCTCCTTGCTACAAGAAGGACATCAAGGTGCTCAAAAGAGTCTAGAGAAGGGCGACGAAGCTGGTGAGGGGCCTGGAAAACAAGTCCTACGAGGAGCAGCTGAGGGAGCTGGGCTTGTTCAGCCTGGAGAAGAGGAGGCTCAGGGGCGACCTTATTGCTCTCTACAGATACCTTAAAGGAGGCTGTAGTGAGGTGGGGGTTGGTCTGTTCTCCCACGTGCCTGGTGACAGGATGAGGGGGAATGGGCTTAAGTTGCACCAGGGGAGTTTTAGGTTGGATCTTAGGAAGAACTTCTTTACTGAAAGGGTTGTTAGGCACTGGAACAGGCTGCCCAGGGAGGTGGTGGAGTCACCATCCCTGGAAGTCTTCAAAAGACGTTTAGATGAAGAGCTTAGGGATATGGTTTAGTGGGGACTGTTAGCGTTAGGTCAGAGGTTGGACTTGATCTTGAGGTCTCTTCCAACCTAGAAATTCTGTGATTCTGTGATTCTGTGATTAATTATACATTGTAAAAATGTATGTATTTTTTACTCAGCTTCATGTTTAAACTGACTGAATTCTCTCTTGCTCTCAGTACCCATGAACTGTGACCCTGAAGCAGTAATAGAGGCCCCATGAAACTGTCTAGATTAAACTACTTCTCAGAGGTCCATGGCAGCATAAATACAATTTACCCTCAATTAGAATGATTCCATATATTGTGAATTTTCATTTTTAAGTAATATATAGTGTACAAATATGACTAAAAAAAAATCCTTTTTTAAATAAATAAAAAAGAAAGAAATCTTTAATTTAGTAAATATTTAAATATTGCCCATTAGGCTTATTATTGACAAAGTGGACCATCCCAGTAAATGATTTCATTTCTTCTTATGCTATCAGTGACATTCCATGATTCCTGACTGTCATTAAGTATAACATTAGCTCTTATTTATTTATTTATTTATTTTTTCTTTAAATCTATATCCAGAAAAAATTATGCTGGCTTTTCTACAAAAGAATGCCAGAAGGACAGGTCTGTCTTCAAGAAGAGTAAAAAGGAAAATCTGTTGGGAAGGCTAAGCAAAATACAAAAGTAATAATAAAAATAATAATAATAAAAGTTAAAAAAATAACTGGCTATTGGCTTCAACATAGTCCCATTCAAATGGCTTTGGGATTAAAGCTGGCTTGCCTGGTCAAAACCTATTAAACACCAAGGACAGGCAAACTTTTCTTACACATCTAACAAGATGAACAAGCCCTGAGTGAGTTACCAGGAAAGTCTGAGCCAGTTTCCCCATATATTTGTACTGAAGCAAAAAAAAAGTCTGTGGCAAATCACAAATCCTGCAGCAATAAGTTTCATATTCCAGTATCATTTATTAAGTCAGACCCATACACAAACCCAAGAATTTCATTCTCACACTAGATAGCTTCAGCACTCAGAGCACTTCCAGCTTCTCACTATCAAATCTAATCCACTCTCCAACAGCCACTTTGTTCACTGCTAGTGAAATTCATTGCTACCTGTTTTCTGATGATGCATATGTAATCTTTTATTTCTTTCTTAGGTTCTCCAATGAATCTGAATTCAATCTGTAGGTTATGGCCATAACCAAAGCATGGGATTATATACAGGGAATGAAAAAAATCCAGATATTTTGGTCCCAGTTTGGAAAAAAAAAAAAACAGAATCACAGAATCACAGAATCACAGAATTTCTAGGTTGGAAGAGACCTCAAGATCATCGAGTCCAACCTCTAACCTAACACTAACAGTCCCCACTAAACCATATCCCTAAGCTCTACATCTAAACGTCTTTTGAAGACTTCCAGGGATGGTGACTCCACCACCTCCCTGGGCAGCCTGTTCCAGTGCCTAACAACCCTTTCAGTAAAGAAGTTCTTTATTGAAAACGTTACAGCATTTCCAGGAAATTTTGTATGCCTGCCGTGGTTTAACCCGGCCGGCAGCTAAACACCATGCAGCCATTCGCTCACCCTCCCCCCTCCCTCTCTGGCACGGGGGAGAGAAATGGAAAGTGAAGCCCGTGAGTTGAGATAAAGACAGTTTAATAAGACAGGAAAATAATAATAACAAAAATAATAATAACAATAATAATAATAATGATACAATGGTGATAATACGAAAGTAATAATAGTATGTACAAACAAGTGATGCACAATGCAATTGCTCACCACTCGCTGACCAATGCCCAGCCTAACCCCGAGCAGTCCGGCCCCCTCCCCCCGGCTAGCCACCCCTATATATTGTTTAGCATGACGTCAGATGGTATGGAATACCCCTTTGGCTAGTTTGGGTCACCTGTCCTGGGTCTGTCTCCTCCCAGCTCTTACTGCACCCCCAGCCTGCCCGTTGGCAGGACAGAGCAAAAGGCTGAGATGTCCTTGGCTTAGTATAAGCACTGCTCTGCAACAATTAAAGCATCGGGGTGTTATCAGCACTCTTCTCATCCTAAGCCAAAACACAGCATTCCACCAGCTACTAGGAAGAAAATTAATTCTGTTCTAACTGAAACCAGGACAATGCCTTATAGTTTATGTGTCCTTTGTAGGTCAGCCTCTACTCCTTGGGAAAGCACCTACCATCATTTAATCAGAAACCACATTTGCAATGAAAGAGTGTTCAAGTGTAATTTTCCATGATCCACGATACTAGCAAAACAGTTAAGGTTGAAGTTGAAAGACCTCTTAACAACTATAAAATGTATGTACTCTTTTTCAATCTACTCTCTAAAACTCTTACACGAAAGGATGCCTATCAAGGATATAACCAATGCAGGAGAGCATAAACTGAATAAGAAGCATTTATAGTCAAGGATGAAACCGTCCTTATCTCATTAAAAGTTGTTACTGCAGCCATTATGGTCTGTCAGAGAGGGAAATCTTGCACACTAAATGAGGTACAATGGCTCAGCATAAAAACAATTGTTTTGAGTCTTACCCCTTCATTTCCCAAATTCAACCAAATGCATAATGTTAATTGAACTTATTTTTCCTCTGTATTACTTTTATGGTGCTTAAAAACAGAGCAGATAAATTTGCATTTGCAACAGATATTTTATTTAAAATTAAATCTGCTGGTGTGGTGTACAAGGCAAACTTCCAAATGAGGTCAGAACAACAAAGCTCTGCTTTTCCCTGTGTTCAGTGAAGTTTGACAGCTGTGACCATATTGCCAAAGGCGAGGTATCTCACTGTCTTATGAAGAAGTCAGATTTACATAGTGGGCTTCATTATTGATGAGTCCAAAATCTATACCCCTACAATTATTGCATTGGGACTGTAAGAGGTTCCTGACTCAAACGTTACCATAACAGTTCTTGTACTATAACACC